GGAGCAAATCCCTTCTCAAATAGGGGAAATTTTTCTCTAGAAGAAAATTGTGAAGCTTAGTCCAAATTTATTTATTTATTTTTTAAATCTAGTCCCTGATGTTTTTGGTTACTAGAAAATGAGTATAGTACTCCAGCCAAGAAAAAATGGTCAAACTTTTTATTTTTAAATTGCCTGGGTTTACCTCTCAGAAGGTAATGCGATCAACCAAATTCGATCTGATTCATGATCATGTCCAAAACGCTTGATTTTACAGCCAACTTTGCAGCAGGCAGGAGAAATAATCAATGAAGAACAGACAAGTTCAATAAGAAGCTTTGAAAGAAATAAACCATGAAATAAGTTACCTACCTCTGAAACCTGGGAACAAGCAACAGCTTTGCTACTGGTTAATGTTCCCATGAACTTTGACCCCTCGCTGCGTGGGATCTGCTAAATGGCACTAGGAATGTCAGCTTTGGGTTTTTTCCTTTCCAAAGTGTTGTCTCATCACCCGGCAGATGCAGGTTCTTGAACACATCTGATTGAAACCATGCTGGAGAGCATCACATGGTATGTGAGACAGAAATTAAATATTTAACGTGTATTTCTGCTGCAAAAGAAACATAAAAGCCAAACTGAACTGTACTCTGATATTATAACAGAAAATGATCCATAAATCACTTGATCTAAAACCTACTGATGAAAGCCCAGTCAGATGATAGAAGTAGTTCTACTAAGGTCATTGCCACAGTCGTCACTTGATGCAGGAGGTCTGCACGATGGAATCAGGAACCTTCAGATACACACTTTCAGATGACTTTTCTTGATGGACTATACAAAAAAAAAAGTTATTTTGTAAACATTTCCAGTTCCTATCACTTGAAAGTAAAGAGAGTAATTTCCATTCCATTCTACTCAACAAATGAAGGCATTTTCCTCTGGGTGGATGGAGAAAAGGGGTGATTGCCCGTTGATCTCTCCCTGGAGCTCCCCTTCTCCCAGAGGAGCAGCCCCAGTTTCCAGGAGTGCTGCTGCCTCTGCTCTGCCTCTGTCCCACAGGTAACTGTGCTCCCACTGTTAGGCTGTCTACTCACCCACTGGAGACTGATTTGTCTTCCTAAATTTATCAGCAATTTCTTAGGCAAGCTGGAGTGTTAAACACCCAAGACTGGTGCCATAAAATCAGTGGGATCAATTTTAAAAGATAAAACCAATCTGTCCTTAGACGTTTCCTTCTCCACACTAAAAGCATCTCTCAATATGAAACCCCCATAGCTGAGAAGCAAGAGAAAACAGTTTAGAGCCAGCGTCAGGTTTACCACGGCACTTGGTGAAGTCCAGGATGAAGAGAAAGTAGGGCTCTGCTGATGTTCCTGTGCCACACCATCTCTCTCCCCCTGCCCTGCAAAAGGGGATGACAAGACACCTTTTGATGTTCTGAATTCTTCACAGCTTTTTATAGCAACCTAACCCTGGAGCAGCTTGTTTAAATTTCTGATTTATCATAAAAACCAAAAGAGTTTGGTATAAGAAATGTTAATAAAAGCTTTAAACTTTTCACCAGCAATTTCAATCTCCAAATTAACATGGAGATAACTTTAAAGCGATTGTATTTTTATCTCCAGCCTTTAAGTCACAGTAACAATCAACACAAGAGTTATTCCTGGAGTTTTTATTTATGAGAAAATTACAGTGAAAGATCTGGATACTGTAACCTGAGGCAGCTGAGGTTGAGAACAAGGAGATAATGGAGAGTGTGTGGTCCACCTCAAGACACAGGAGCAAGAGCATCCACTGAGGACACAAGTAACTCAGTAAAAGTGCGTGGAAGCTTACTGAGAAGTTTTGCTCCAATTACTTAGCTAGAACCAACACAGTAGAACTTCTCTTACTTTCCTTATAATAAAATAACTTTTAAAACACTTTCAAGAAGAAGACAAAGGACTTCAATGACAGAAACAGAGTAACCCAAGACTATTTGCACATTGGGTTTATTTAACATCTGAAGTAAAGCCAAGTCTAGACCAAAATCAACAGCAGAACTGCCACTGCTGTTAAGGGATTGATGACTAGGGGTCCATTTATTTCCTAATTCGACCTATATCTATGCCAAAGCATATTAGCGTACTTCTTATGGGGGTTAACATAAAGATCAAGAAGGAAAAGCCAGCTAAAAAAAAAAAAGTGTTACCATATAGTACATTTACAGGATAAATGCAAACACAGTGACAGAAATCTCTGCCTCAGCTAAGGTCAAGAGGAAGCACAGAGAAAGAAGTAATCAAACTGACTCTGAGGTGATGTTATCCTGTCCTGAGATTCCACCAGCACTAAGGATATGTCCCATTCCTTCATTGTCACTGAAGTTTATAAATGTAACATTCACAACAGAAATCAAAGAGCTCTTCAATGCTCTGCAAGAACAAACTATACCAAAATTCCTTTCTGTCAGGTATTGACATGCTGCTTGATCCCCAGTCTTCTCCAGAAGAGAAACAAAATGTGATGTAACACAGGAACAAGCACTGGGAGATGTAAATGCACTTGCAGGCAGTGCCTGGGGCAGAACCAATGCACACAGTTTACAAAATGCCTCTCAGAGAACAAAACCATCATGGAATTCCATGAACAATGTTTCTAGTAGAAGAAAAACTGCTTTTTTCATCAGACTTTGTAGATTTCTGTCAATCTAACCTATCTTTTAATGCCACTTAGATAATGCTAATGACTACTGACTCAGAAAAAAAAATAATAAAAAAGACGTTATTAATCTGAAGCATGTATATGATCCCACTACTACAGTGGGAAATCCTTAAATATATGCTTGAATCAGAAATTGAAGCACAGATACCTTATAAAGTGCTTTTCTGGCCTGTGGAAGTTTGAAAATAGGACAGGTTTTCTTATAAAGCCTCCTTTTCCACTCGCACCTCTATAAAAACCCAGTCCTTGCTTTCCATGTCCCCAAACTGTCTTTCTGTTTGAGCTGAAGATATTCCATATTGTGTACTACATAGTAAATTGATTTTTTTCTTGCACAATTCAGTTTTCTTCCAGCATGCTATTCAGTAAATCCCTGCTCCTAGGACTCAGGCACATATTCCAAACTGCGAAGCCACAGTAAGCAGGTCTTACATATTCTTTTAAGTTAAATTGCCAGAAAATTGCTCTTTTCCTCTCTCTCAAAATACATAAATATGCATATAAAAAGTAACAGGTAGATCAAACTTTGGATATTAAAAGAAAAACCAAACAAAATACATTTAATATTGTCCTTTTAAAATAGGTAAAGGTGAGAGAAATACCTCATCTGGAAACTAAAAATAGCACAAGTAATTTGTAGCCTCTTTCTTTTCAGGTTGTGCCGTTATTCCCCTGGAATACAGCGGCCCTGCTGGCCTTGCTTACCTAAGCGATCACAGGCTGCCTGGCTGGGATTTGTCGCTTAGTACAAGGGAATTTTATGTGTGTTTTATGCTAGACCAATCTTCCTGCTCTCCTTTGTGTCGTCGAGCTTTCCCACGTGCCCTCTCTGATGCCGGACTGCAGAAGAAAGGCCTCGTGGCAGGTGACACCAAACGGGGTCACACACCCAGCACCAGCAGCCTGCTCTTTGCCTGAACACTCCAGGACCCGTTTCCACCCAGCAGAGCAGAGAGCAGAGCAGAGCCCATTCGCAGGCCCGGGCAGCAGGGACATGGCCCTGGCGCTGGGACCACGGATCTGCCACAGCCCCCGTGCCACCAGGAGTCCTCTGCACAAAGCCAGCTCGGGGCCGACGCCAGCGGGCACGTGTTGGTTGGTACAGACTGGCACGTCAGACCTGGCTGGTTGTTACCCAGCCACGGCCAACCCGAGTTGCCACCTCTGTACTTTGTTCCCCCCCTAACCAGGTGGCACACTGACCTGTTGTTTTTTTCACAAGGGGACAAGGCAGAAACGCTTCCTTAACCACTGCCCACCTTCCGCTCCTTCCTTTCTCCCTTCGGGGGCTCAGCCCCAGTTCATAACAGACTCTCACTCAGTTTTAAGGGGAATCATTCTGAGTCACGGTCTTCACACACTCATTGTTTCCTGGAACACAGACAGGGTTTCTGTGGCAGTTACTGGGAACATTGAGCAGGTACCTGAGTTATTCCCACATAACTTCCCATTTACCTGGAGTTGCATTAGAAGAGCTACAGGTGGTGCAAACAAAATAGACACTGGTTTCACTGAATCCATGGGAGCACTTGGATAAATCAGCCAAAAGACAGGGGAAAAATGGATCATACTGATTAAACACAAGGAGCATCAAAAAGAGGGAAAAAAAAGGCTGCAGCTCTCTATTAGCCTTTCATTAAATTACATTTCCCAGTTTCTTTGGGTTCAGGCCTTCACAAGCTTTATTTTCACTTATTTCTGCTTTTGCAATAGAAAAATTTTTACATATCTTAAAATGAAAGCCATGTCCTAATTTCCAGAGCATGCTCCAACATCAAAAACAAATGTGTATGGCAAAAAAACCCACAGGTGAACAGCAACACCTCCAAAGTGCCACTTGTGCTTTTTTTTTGTTTTAAATTGGATCACCAACAGCATCAGGATCATTAACATCACATTTGATGTTTTCACAAGGTCAGTGACAAATAAATCCAGGTTGTAACCCAATTTATTAACCAGGCCCTCAAACCAACCCCCATGACAATGTTGGAAAAACCTTTTTCTATACAGTGAGGTTTTTTTTGTCACGCATTATTAAACATCACTAAGAGCAGTCTTCTGTGATGTATGGAAAAACAACTCTGTAGAAAGGCAAAAAGCCAGAACAAGGCACTTGTGTTATGTTGAGGACAATGAGCAAATATTAAACATTGTGCAAAAAGAAGAGACTTTATTTATTTTAATACCTTATTTAATTTGAAAGTTCTGCACACTGACGATCAGAAAACCAAAGGGAATTTTGCTTTGCTAAATAATTCTGTGCTGAGCACAGCAGCTGCTAATTCTGGAAAGAACCCAGAAATGTCTGTTGTCATCTAGCTGCTGCTGATGGCCTCTGCTGCTGCCAGTTCTGGTTTGGGTTTGGAGTAATCCCAAGGCCTCCTGTTCTCGGTGTAGCCGTAGAGCCTCCGCAGCGCCACGCGGGCCGCCTCCTCCTCTGCAGCAAGCACTGTCTCACCGGGGCCTTCAGCTATAATCTTCTTATCGCTTCGGGAGAAAAAACAAAATTAACAGCATTTCCACCACGAAGCCGTCCAGCTGCCCCGCAGCTGGCAGAGCTCCTGGTCGGCTCCCCCAGAACACTCCCCTGGGCACCCATCCAGGCTCTGAAGCCTTCAGTCAGAGACTGTCCACCCTGACAGCAGATATAGCCCATGCTTCAGCAGCTGATTTTAGATGGGAGTTGCTGTCAGGTTTCTCTTCTGTAATAACCTGACCAAACTGCACGAGTAGACAAATGAAAGACCCATCTTCCCTCCTCCCCTCTCCCCCAGCTTAAAGTCGTTTCATGTGGAACACACAGGGCACTAACCAATACAGCCCGACAAAGTACAGCGGCAGAACCGTGCTGACGCCCAGCTGCCTAGTAATCCGTGGCTCTGGAGGAGAGATGTTCCTCTTGGTCAGCTCTTCCACGAGTAAGCCCATTGGATTTATGACTTCCCAGATCTCAAACAGGTCTTTTCCGATCAGTTCGGGAATAAAAAAATCCTACACAAGAGTATTTAGAAGTTACGGTGATGGACACGGCTTATAAGGAGCGGCTGAGGGAACTGGGGTTGTTTAGACTGGAGAAGGGGAGGCTCAGGGGTGACATTATTGCTCTTGACAACTCCCTGAAATGAGATTGGAGTGACATGGCACGTGGGGACATGGTTTAGTGGTCATGGTAGTGTTGGGTTGACAGCTGGACTAGATGATCTTAGAGATCTTTTTTTCAACCTTAACAATTCTATGATTCTAAGTAAGATCAACCAGTGAGTCATGACATACCCTGACAAAGATGCTGGTCCTCTCTGGCCCGCTGCTCTCGAGCAAGGCTCCCACCACGGCGAGGAACGTCCTCTGCAGCACGCAGGGTGGGACGGGAAACTCCCTGCAGAGCGTCAGGTCCTGGATGGAGAGGTTTCGGGCCACGTAGGAAACCAGCTCCTGACCGGTGAGAAAATCGACGAGCGCTCGCGTGCCCTCGGCAGGCAGAGCCGGGTAGGCACCCTCGAAGCACCGCCG